TATACATATATATATATATGAAAATGGTTAGGTCTAGAGAGTGGGGGGAGCTAGGCGATTCTCGCCGCCGTCCCCAAGACCCCATCTCGGAATTCCGGCAACCAATACATTGCCACTACAGATATACAAACGCATTTAGAGATAGGGGGAAGAGAGGCGAGTCAATTCGCCGACCCCAAGCCCGATTTCTGGAGCTTTATAAACACCAATCCTACAGATTACGAAGGAGGTATAGAGAAAGGGGGGATAGAGATGACTCTCGAGGTCGTCCCCAAGAAGGTGTTTCTAAGCTCCGGGAACCATTGGAACGCCATTTCTGCAGAGATGAAAGAAGGTATGATAGAGATTCTTCTCTGTGCAGTGATGGTAGAGGAAACCGTGGCCATCAAAGTTGTTTCAATCTAAGAGGTTCCAATCTCAGATGGAGTTCTCCTAAGGCTCTCAATCGGAGACCTTACAATCATTCTCCAGATGGACGGAAATCAACCACCATAGAACAGAGGGTTTCTGAAGTTGGATACGGAGCTTTGAAATTCAGTCACCCCCCTTGGCAGACTAGAAACTTGCACGCTTATTTCCTGCTTGGTAATGTTACCTATAATCTTTTTCACTCTCATCACAATCAAACCTTCTGCCTGGCATTAGAGGGCAAAAGCAATAGTATAATTTGGTTCAACTATGATTTATTCAGCTGGGTTTTGGAATGCTTATTGAAAATTTACTCTGAGCCAAGTTGGGTGTTTAGTAAATATACTGGTAATAGGGATATGGTTGTGGCTGTTAACAAGGAAGCCAATGAGAATCAAGTAGTCATTTTCGAAAAAAGAGTTGAAGGCAGCAGAAAGGTCTCTATTCCAGTAGAGAACCAATTCAAGTTGATTAAGAACTTTGTCAAAAATCTCCAACTCTTCTATCGTAAAGCTAGGGAGAAATCAAAATTGGATACACAAACTGGAATGGCTTCGGATTTTAGGGTCCAACCACATTCTCGGAAATCAGGCAACTGTGGAGATTGGTATCCAATCGAAGAACAAACTCACCAAGTTGTTTCAATCTCTAAATCCTTACTGTGCTGGGAAAGTGAATCTCCCCTGACCTCCAATTTCTTTGAAGGGGACTTGGAACAACTGAGCAATGAGAGAGGGGTATGGCAGGAACACTCTTGCTCCAAATTATTGTTTGCCATGGACATTTCAGTTTTTGAATGTCAAACAAACAGTAAGGAAGATACTCCATTCTTTTTGGTTGGGAAGGAAGCTTCAGGGGCAGATTCTGGAGCTTTAGGTCCTAAACTTTTAACCGCCAGACCTCGGAAGGAGGTGCTCATCGGTCCCCCTTCGAAGCTATCTCCAGAGGCCCCTCCATTTATCCCCATTTCCTATAACCCGTTTGGGGTACTAGATTCCTATGAGGACGTCAACCTTGAAGAACCTTTGGAGACACATGCCAACAACTTTGGTGAATCCATAGAGAAGTTTAACTGCTCATCTACTCAGCGGGTGTTGAAACTTAATGCGCTTGAGGATGCGCCCCCGGTAAATGATGAACCGGCCCTCTACACCCACTCGGAAGGGGAAACAACGGTGTTTATTGATTCCATTCTTCAACCCATTAGAATAAACACCTTTAGATGCTCTAAGGTGTCAATGCAGCTCCCAAAATTAAACAAGGGTAAGTCAACCTTTTCACCCTCTCACATGGTTACTAGAAGTAGGGCTAAGTTAATATCTGCAGGAAGGAAAGAACACCCCATTAAGGGAGTAGACACATCTGAGGATGAGTTTACCGTGGAGGGCATTCGCTCTGCTTTCAAGGAAAGCTGCCCAACAATCAAAGAGAGGAAAATTCAACTTAAAGCTCCCCCTTTGGAACCACATACAAAGCTTAGCA